TAGCGTGATGTGGTGAGAGAAGCCAGGCATGGTGGCAGTCGGGAGGCAGAGGCAGGGGGATCTCTGTGAGTCTGAGGCAGCCTGATCTACAGAGTGAGTTCCAGGACAGCCAGGGCTATGCAGAGAAACCCTACCTCAAAAAAACAAAACCAAACCAGAGAAAGAAAGAAAGATGTGGTAGGAGAGTGGCCCGAGCCAGGAGTTCAGGACTGGAGGGGAACAGGGCAGCAGGGTCAGCCTCCAACCCAGGGTTCTCTCATGTGCTGTCCAGATCTGAAGTGTTTGAATATTCAGTGTCCGTCTTGTGGGGCTATTTGAGGCTCTTTGGAGCAGGACTGTAGAAGTGACACCCAGCCCCTCTCTAGTCTGCTCTGGTCTCCGTATTTCCGCCACCATGGATGGAGCCAGCTCTGCGGTCATTTCTTCCCCTTCAAGATGGGTCCTTAGGGTCAAGGCCATGTAAATCTTTCCTCCTCTAAGTCTCTTTGTGTCAGGTCTTTTGTGAGAGCAGCTCAAAGCTTAGCAGGGAGGGCAGGACGGCGCAGGCTTTAATTTCAGCATTCCGGAGGCAGAGAGAGGTGGATCTCGGTGACTCCATGGCCAGTCTGACCCACACAGAGACCCTATCTCCAGGAAGAAGTAACTAACAAGACACACAAGTGGTGTAGCCCCAAGGCAGAAGGTGCTGGAAGTGGCGTTTGCAAATGGTCCTTAGAGTCTGTTCCCCCTTACTAACTCACTTTAAAATTATTTTATGTGCATGAATGTTTTGCCTGTATGTGTGTATGTATGTATATATGTGTACCACATGTGTGCCTGGTGCTCATGCAGGCAAGAAGAGGGTATCAGATGCCCTGGAACTGGAGTTATAGACAATTGCGAGCTGCCATGTGGCTGCTGGGAATCAAACCTGGATTCTCCACAAAAGCAATGAGTGCTCTTAATTGAACAATCTCTCAAGCCCCATATGGTTCCACATTTATCTTCTGTGGGTGAGTGTATGTTTATGGGCACATGTGTGACTAACACAGTGCATTTGTGGGGTTTAGTTTTTTTTCCTACCATGTGGATCCCAGGGGCAGCAGGTGCCTTTACCTAATGAACCATCTTCATGGCTGTCACCAAACACTTATTGAGACTCAAGTGTGGGTGTGTAGGTGTCTGTGTGCTTGCCCATGCACGCACGTGTGAGCACGTGTCAGGTGTGTAGGTGTCTGTGTGTCTGCCCATGTGCGTGTGAGCACGTGTCAGGTAGGTGTGTAGGTGTCTGTGTGCCTGCCCATGTGCGTGTGAGCATGTGTCAGGTGTTTTTCTCAGTCGCTCTCCACTTACTTTTTGAGACAGGGTCTCTTCTTGAACCTGGAACTCACTGACTTGGCTAAATGGGCTTCCTAGCAAGCCTCTGAGACTCTCTCATCTCACCTGTGTGCCTGACTTTTATGTGTATATTGGTGCCAGTTTCCCCGTGCCAGGACATCTCTGTCCAGAAACCATTGTGGTGCTGGGATGAACTCATCATATTGAGGTCTCTCAAAGCCCAGGTCTGTAGAATATGTGCAGACAGCCCTGTGGGTGTCCTGGTGCAGAGGAGACACTGAGGGTGAGGATGGAAATTTAGGCAGGAGTGGCGGGGAAGGTGCTCTGAAGCAGAGCCTGGACAGACAGAGGCAGAAAAGAGAAGAGGACCTCGGAGCCTGGCCCCCCAGACCAAAGGGCTGCTGGTTCAAATCCAGAGTGTTATGACGGAAAGAAAGCAGGCTGGGTCATCAGGGTTCAGCAGTGCCTTGATTCTCGTTGCTTGGCTTAGGTTGGGTACCTAGCACCTAGAAAGGTCTTTGCCACATCACAGATGTCATCTCAGGATGAATGAGAGGGGTATGGGCCCTGTGGGAGGTGCTGGGCTGCAGGGGGATAGAAGACCGACTAGAAGAGGAGACCTGAAATAACGCAGGCCAGAGCTGCCAGAAAATAACAGGATTGTGAGGCGGGGAGGCTGGACTGGCGCCCATATTCCTTGTCTCTCCACAGGTTCCTTGCAGACATGATGGCGCTACTAAGCCTCCCCATCTGCCCTATCTGTGGCTGGGCATGGTGCTATGTGTCCCCAGTGGTGCTGCTAGGCCTGCTAATAGCTGTCTTCATTCAGCTGGGCATGAGGCCCCTCACCTACACGGCCTGGAACTCCAGCACTGTGAGTGTACCCTCTCTCTGATCTTCCTGTTCCTTCTGGTCCTTCCAGTCCCCTGTGGGCTGAGGACCTGGCCATTGGCTCACTAGCCTTCACCTTTCTCCTCTCCCTCCCACACCTCTTCTTCCTCTCCTAGGAATTTTCTGTGTTAATATCCTTTCCTGGTCTCTCCATAGTCAAAAGAGACAGTTCAACAATACCCAATGTGGGCCTTGATTCTGACAGTCGGGCTGTATGTCATCGTCCTCATTCCCATTCCTGCCTACATTGCATACTGCCTCACCCTGGGGATTCCCTTCAGGCCTACAGCATCCCCTAAGCTCTCCAGCGGAAGTGGCCAGCCACTGACTAAGAAAAAGGCCTCAGAGGATATTTCACAGGGCTACAAAACAAAGTCCTCATCAGCCTGATGGCGGAGCCCCTAACTTCCCTCATTGGACCAGACATCCTGCATCTCTCACTGTAGACTGAAGGAGATGCCCGGGGAGGGGAGGAGCCACAGATCCCTAATGGCTGTGCAGCCCCTTCCTGGCTGGACTCTTCCATTCCTGCATAGCACTTCTCCAGCCCTCGCTCACTCAGTGTGTGTGCACGTTCACTGAGCTCCAGGTGTAGCCTGCCAACCCTGCTCCTGGTCCTGGGTCTCCTGCGGGGGCGAGAGAAGCCCAATGTTGATGGCCAATAAATCAGACTGTGGCTCCACACTGAGTGTGAGGGGTTTTCCTGTAAAGGTCTCAAGTAGTTGGCCTTTTCCACAATGCTGCCATTGTTTTCTAGAGCTACATTTTACATATCTAGCCCTGAGTTCCCGTGCTCTCCCTGCCCCATGAATTCGGATGCTAGATTAGCTCCCAAGCCTTGTCTAGAACCTGCTCCTCAGTCAAGATGTTCTCAAAATGGCCTCAGCAAAATGGGAAGGATAGCATCATCCTTGCTGCTAAGAATAGTAACCCCATCACAGGCCACAGAGTCTTAAAATTCATCCGGTGGGCCAGGCGGTGGTGGCGCACACCTTTAATCCCAGTACTTGGGAGGCAGAGGCAGGTGGATCTCTGTAAATTTGAGGACAGCCTGGTCTACAAAGTGCTTTCCAGGACAGCCAGGACTGTTTCACAGAGAAACCCTGTCTTGAGAAACAAAACAATCATCTGGTATATATGTAGTGGTGTGTGTGTCTATATGTGTGTGTGCACACACACACTACAGCATGCATGTGGAGGTCAGAGAACAACTAGCAGGATTTGTTTCTTTCTTTCAACATGTGGTCCCAGTAATAATTCAGGTCATCAGGTGTAGGCTGAGCCATTGTACCAAACTCTAAAAGTCCTTTTTGAAGTCTACATTCCAGCACTAACAGACTGTGTGTATGTGTACCTCTGCAAACCACCAGGGTGAGCTCCAGCAGAGTTGTGTGGCTGGAAAACAAGGGTCCCAGCTGCTTGAAAAGAGACATTGACTCCCCTCCCCCCAGACAGGGTTTCTCTGTGCAGCAGCCCTATTTTTTCTTTTTTTAAATTTATTTATTAAAGATTTCTGTCTCTTCCCCGCCACTGCCTCCCATTTATCTCCCCCTTCCCCAATCAAGTCCCCCTCCCTTGTCAGCCCAAAGAGCAATCAGGGTTCCCTGCCCTGTGGGAAGTCTAAAGACCACCCACCTCCATCCAGGTCTAGTAAGGTGAGCATCCAAACTGCCTAGGCTCCCACAAAGCCAATACATATAGTAGGATCAAAAACCCATTGCCATTGTTCTTGAGGTCTCAGTAGTCCTCATTGTCCGCTATGTTCAGCAAGACCGGTTTTAACTCAGGCTTTTTCAGACCCAGGCCTGCTGGCCTTGGTGAGTTCCCGATAGAACATCCCCATTGTCTCAGTGTGTGGGTGCACCCCTCGTGGTCCTGAGTTCCTTGCTCGTGCTCTCTCTCCTTCTGCAGCAGCCCTATTTGTCCTGGAACTAGTTCTATAGACCAGGCTGGCCTCTAACTCAAGAGATAACCCTGCCTCTGCCTCTTGAGTACTGGGATTAAAGGCATGTGCCATCACCGCCCAGGTTTCATGGTTGAATCTGAATCGGTTAGAAAACTGCCCAGCTAGAACAGGCCAGATGACTCCAGAACTGAGCTGATAATTACTTTCCAGGTAACCAGACACCTGGAAGGTTCTGGATAGCAATGTCTGCTTTCCCAGAGAGCCAGAGAATAGATGTTCTCCAAACATGCCTAGTCGGGGATTTGGGGTTCCCAGCCCACACTTGCACTCTGAAGACAGGAGATCTTTGAGGGCTTGAGGAGAACAGGGATGGAGAGGCTCCTCTCACCAGCAGGCAGGGTCTCCTTCCTTCGGCCTCAGTCTAGTTCCAGCTTCAGGGTTGCGATCATGGGAACAGGATTATGAAGCACAGCCCAAGGGTTTGGAGGAGCTGGCGCGTGGAGCAAAGGCTTTGATGAGTCTCTCACAGAGGAGCTGGCGCGTGGAGCAAAGGCTTTGCTGAGTTTCTCACACAGACTTTTTCCCTGATGCCATTTGTTCATGGTCCTTGGCCACATAGCCACAAGACTGCCTGAGAATAAATCCCAGGCTGCTGTAACAGGTGTGACTGGGCAACAGGGAAGCTAAGTTCTGTCCTAGGTTCCAGATAACTCTAGGATTCCTTTGGTCTCAAGCCCATTTCCTGGCACCCATGGATGTAACTGAGCTTTTCGTTAGCTGCTAGGAACCTCCAGCCTCCCCCAACACGCATAGGGCCTGATGGCTTCCGGTTCGAGTTATTGTCATTCTGGTATTCTTTCTGAACACATCTTAAGGAGGAGTGTCGGGGGCCAGCCTCGACAAAAATACCTTTCTTCCAGAGTGGAGGTGTGGGAATTTAGAAATATAGTAAATGTTAAAAATGCTGCAAGATCCCCGGCGGCAGTAGGCAGGCAGTGGGCCCTGAGAGCAGCCAGTCCCAGGCAGAGACAGCTGCCAGTTCCTGAGCAGAGAGCCCGGGGGTGTGAGCAGGCGGCAGGTAGAAGGGACATGGGCAGACACATCGTACATAATAGAATTGGATATTTATTAGTTAGAGAAAAGAGAGAGAGAGAGAGAGAGAGAGAGAGAGGGAGAGAGAGAGAGAGAGAAGAGGAAGAGAGACAGAAAAAGGAGAGCGGGAGAGAAGAAGGGTACGTGTGCCAAGAGAGGACAGTGAGAATCTAAGATGGTGAGAGGAGGGCAGGGGTTGCCGGGAGTGGACATGGCTTATCTCTTAAGGAGATAGGACAGACCATTACAATATTATCAGGAGGGAATTTCAGTGAGTACTGAAAATTCGCCTGTGTTTAATTCCCAACTGGTTAATATATCCCTGATTTCAAAGGGTATGAGAAGAACAAAAGGACTGCCTTAACACACAAATTGAAAGTCATGGGGTACACTCACTGCTCATGCCCTAGACCAAACCTTCTGTAGGCAATCCACTCCCTAGGTGGAATCCCAAGTTATTTCCATAAAGGGAACTAGGACTCAGTTGGATCCTTAGACTTTTGTTTTGGGTGGGAACAAACTACTTCCCTATTTCAGGAGCAGAAGGTCTAGACACACCTGTTTACAATAGCCTTGAGAGAGCAGAACTCTGATTTGTTTGAGTTTGAAGCACAATCTCAAATGAACTAAAACAAGTCCCGATGTCTCTGACTTTTGGCCTCTTTGAGCCTTCACAGAGGAGCATGAGGGATTGCCTGTGCTCACTGAGTGGCCTGTCCCTCCCACTCAGGACCAAGATGCCTTCCACATGCTTCAGCATCATTTTGAAGCAGATGTCAACTTGATCATTTCAGCTATAGATATGTTGGTGTGCATCTATAGCCTCTTAAAAAATCTAACAAAAGTAATATTATTGACCAAAGTAAATAGTACTTACTTGATATCAGTAAATATGAACACATAAAATTTCCCTATCATGTGATTTTTTGGGTAGCTTTTTAAATTGTTTTCCTTTACATTTGCTGTGTATGAGAGTGTGAGTGTTGTGATGGTTTAGTGGCAGAAGGCAACCTTGGCGGGTGGAGCCAAGAGGTAACACGAGATCACTCTTAGGGTTCCAGCATTACACTGACCCTGCGCCCTGGCAGCCCACCAGCTGGCATTCAGGCACCTAGCCAGCCTGGGGGCCCTACAACCCTACATCTTATGTCATGCATTGCGTTGCTGCATTGGGCTCTGTACACATGCGCAAGCTTCCCCATTTAAGTAAGCTCCACCTGCCTGTTTGTCATTTTTTTTCCTGCTCCCCTCTCGGGAGTCCACACTTCCTCCCACTTCCTTCCCTGTACCCCAGTTGTGGGTTTGTTGAGCTCTGTGGTTCATTTCTCACCGTCGAAGTTTCAGTCCAACACCAACAGACAGCATGCAGCAGAGCTCACGTGGGAGGTTTCTTTGGGGAGGTGCAGAGGGGGCCTCTGAGGGAGAGAGAGAGAGAGAGAGAGAGAGAGAGAGAGAGAGAGAGAGAGAGAGAGAGAGAGAGGAAAGAGAGAGAACTGGAAGGGCTTGCCTTTTGTCAGGGGATGTAGCACATGCGCATAGGGACAGTGCCCTACTTGGGGGCTGCAGTAGCTACAGTGTCACATCTTGGCTCCTGCTGCTGCCGCCATCTCCCTCTAGGACCCTGAGAGCAGGCCGGTGTAAATGCCTGAATGCTAACAAGTGTGTATGTGTGGGAATGCGGGGATGCTCCTGAGAGCTGGTTTACCTCCAAGCATGGACAAGTGGGGCAGGGCTTGTCCAACATGCGCAAAGCCTCAGCTTCCATCCCCAGTCCTGACAAAGAAGAAAGGAGGAGGAGGAGATGGAAAGACAGACTAGATTTGGGTCAGCAAGATGGGTCTGGGGGTGGAGGTGCTTGGTGCCAAGCCTGGTGACCTGAATCAATCCAGAACTACACGTTTCTGCTTTCTGAGCCAGGGTCTCATTGTGGCCCAGGATGACTTTTAATTTGCAATCCCACAGTCTCAGCCTCCTAAGTGGCTGGAACAACAGGCCTGCAGCACCAGCCCTGGAGGCTGATGTATTTCTTATTAATTAGTAGTTAAACACACAAGCTGATTAATTTTACATTCAACTTTTAAAATGTTTATTATACATATTGGTCATATATAACACCGGGTCTCATGACATTCTCATATATGTGCACCGTGTTCTTTACTCAACCTTCAGTTCCCTCTCCTGCCTCCCCCACTGGTTCTCAGTTCCCCCTCCTGCCCCCCCCCCCCACACTGGTCCTCACACTTCAGACAGAAGATAGCAGACAGAAATCGCAGATCAAGGCCATGTGCTAACACTGGGACCAGATGCTGGTGGGCCCAGCAGTCTCTGTGGGACCAGATGTTGGTGGGCTCAGTAGTGCTCAGGTGCACCGCAGGCAATTGCAGCGCAGCGGCTGTGAGTTCAGAAAGCAGAGCATGCCAAGGTAACCCGTTCTTCCCTCTCCCCATAGTCAAATGAGATTTTCCAACTTATCCACTATGCGAATACACGGCTCCTTCCCCTCGTATACTGCTCTTTTGTCCCTGCCTACTTCATGCACACCGTCCGTCAGTGATGAACTCACAGACGCCCCCTCTGCAGCTTTTGAGAGGCCAAAAACAGCAAAGAAGATGAATTAAGAGGCAGGTGAGATGGCTTAGCAGGCAGAGACATGTGCCACAAACCTGCCAACCTGAGTTTCCAGGGAACAAGATGTAGAAGCTAAGAGATCTGACCCAGCAAGTTGTCCTCTGACCTCCGTATTTCTTGCTGTGACCAGATCCTATGTGGGCATACACACACACACACACACACACACACACACACACACACACACACAGTTTTGTTTTGTTTGGCTTTGTTTCTGTTTCGAGACAGGGTTCCTTGAAGCTGTAGCTGTCCTGGAACTCACCTTGTAGACCAGGCTGGCCCCAAACTCACAGAGATCCGCCTGCCTCTGCCTCCCGAGTGCTGGGATTAAAGCGTGCGCTACTGGGGAAATTTAGATCTCCCAGTCTCCCTTAGCAGGTGATGCTGAAGGTTGGGGACCTCACTTGGAGCAGCGTGGAGTAGCTGTTATCAGAACCCTGAGTAGAGCCCCTCTCTCAGCCCACGTGGCCCCTGCTCCTCTCAGGTCTATTCATCCTCTATTCATCCTCTGAACCCTAACCCCCAGATCCTTGGCTCCCCTTTAACAGCGCATTTGCCAGCACTACTACGTTTTTGCGGGGCGGGAGAAGGGGTTAGGAATTGCTCGTCTAGAATTTCATGAGATGTTCTTACAATTCTAAATTTGGAGACCCTGTTTTTGTTTTTATTTTTTAAAAACTCTCACATTTCCTCAAGTAAGTTCAAAAATAGGATTTGGACCTACATGTTCTAGCTCACTAATGTTATTCCCCAGAAGGCCCCTGAGCATAGCTCGCCTGGGGAACTACATTTCCCAGGAGCCCCTAGCGTTCCACGCAAAGGCTGCGCAGGCGCAGAACGTGGCATCTGACGCACGTGCGTGGGGAACCCTTTAAAAGGCTGGAAAGCCGTCTGTTCGCGCTCCCGCTCCACGTGGGTTTTGTTGTGTGTTGCATCCTTTCGCGTCCGAAGAAGAACAAGCAGAAGAAGCAGCAGAACAGAACAACTAACATCACAAATCTTTATTCTATCTTCTCCCTCAACCCCCCCCCCCCTCTCGTCTGTTTCCTTCTTTCCCTCCTTCCTTCTTTCCTTCTGAGCCTGGAACTCCCAGACCTTTACCTCTAAAGCGCTGGGATAATAAATACGTGACCCTCCACCCTTGGCAGTTTTCCTGGCATCTTTTTCCCTTCTTCATGTGCTTGTGTGAAATCTAACTGGCAACTTGTGACGTCACTCAGCCCACGCTCTCATCCTCCTGGCAAGTGGCACCGTGAGCCAACCCGTGAAATCCGGCAACCAGTGACTTAGCTCAGCCCGCACCGAGCCAGAGTTCCCTGGCACCCGGGGTCTTCTTGGGGCAGCGCGGGCCAGAGGGAACTAAGAGCTCCCTGCACGAGCTGCAGGTCACCGGGCTGTGGCGCCCTGGGTCTCGCGGCCACTTCCGCTGACGTCCACGGGTCGTGTGCCCAGGCGGGTAGGGACCATTACGCCCTGCTCAGAGCCGCAGCCCTCGAGGGGCTCTTCCTGTCCGCCAAGGGGACCGACCCGACCGGACTGCTAAAGGGAAGCTGTCGGCGGGGCTGTCTCCGAAGACCCCCAAAAGGACCCTGGATTGTGAGTAACCCTTAAAAAACACATTTTTAGCTTGGGCCAGACAGCACACTCCTTTAATCCCAATACTGCAGTTGCAGAGGCAGGAGGATTTCTGAGTTTGAGGCCTGCTTGATCTACATAGGGAGCTCTGGGATAGCTAAAGCTACACAGTGAGACCCTATCTCAAAATAATTAGACTCAGCATTCGGGAGGCAGAGGCAGGCAGATTGCTGGGAATTCGAGGCCAGCCTACTCCATATATCCAAGTTCTGGGACAGTCAGAGGTACATAGAGAGACCCTGTCTCAAAATAATAAATACATAATAGGAAATTACACGTGATAATAGAAGAAAATATGTAGAGTTGCTAAGTTTAGCTGCCTCCCCTTCTGAAACCTAAAAGGAGCAAACATTTAACATGAAGGATTTGGCAGTGGGGTCTTTTGGTTTTGTTTTGTACTCTTGAGACTAAGTTTCACTGTGTAGCCCAAGTTGGCCTTGAACTCTTGAACCTTCTGTCAGCCTCAGGAGTTCTGGTGTGCTGGGCATAAAATCATGCTAAAATCAGCTAAAATCGTGGTATCTTTTGAATGTTCACAGTATCTACAGCAGGCACAGACGCTTGCAGCAGACTGTAGCTTCAACTCCAGGAGATCTGACCTCCACAGGTACCTATACTCATGTGCACCCCTCCACACACACAATTTAAAAAAAAAAAAAAACAAATCAGACGGGGGTACCTCACCCAGCAAGTAGCACCCTCTCTTCTCAAAACTTGCTGGATGGCTCCTGCTCTGTTCCCAAAGAGGATGTTGGCTGCACTCAGCCTACAGGAGAGGCCCAGAGGCAATTCCTAGTCAGAGAAAGACTGGGATCTGCCAACATCCCTGAGGCTCAGATGGAATAAAAGAGGAATGAGAACACCATTTGAGAACCACAGCTCCTCTGCGTCCTGTTCTGTGGGGACCTGAGGAAGCGCACAGTCCCAGCCATGTGTTCCTCACCACACTGTATACCCTCAAACCGTGACCAAAATAAATCCTTCATGTCAGGTGACAGTGAGAAGACTAATGGGAAAAGGCCCCTTCACACCGAACCCCTAGTCCTAACAGGGTCTCTGTTTGTAGGAA